GGCCTGCAGATTTCTTCTTGGTTGTGTCTTTATGTGGTTTTGGGATTAGGATGATGCTGGCCTCATCAAAAGAGTTTGGGAGTCTTCCCTCTCCTTGAGTGTTTTGGAATAGTATGAGAAGGACAGGGTTTAGCTCTTCCTTAAATGTTTTGTAAAGTTCCTCTGTGAAACCATCTGGTCCAGGGTTTTTGTGTGCCGGGAGTTTTTTGATTACTGCTTCAATTTCCCCAGCTGTTACCGGTCTGTTCAGGCTTTCTGCTTCTTCTTCATTCAGTGATGGAAGGTTATATTTTTCCATTTCATCAAGGTTTTCAAATTTCTTGGCATATAATTGTTCATAGTAATTTCTTATAATCCTTTGTATTTCGGTGGTATCAATTGTTATTTCCCCTCTTTCATGTCTGACATTATTAATTTGGGTCCTCTCCCTTTTTTTCTGGATGAGTCTGCTTAAAGGCTTGTCAATTTTATTTATCTTTTCAAAGAACCAGCTTCTGGATTGGTTGATCCTTTGAATTGTTCTTTTTGTCTCTATGTCATTCAGTTCTGCTCTGATCTTGATTATTTCCTTTCCTCTACTTGTTCTAGGCTTTGTTGTTGTTTCTCCAGTTCTTGAAGCTGGAGGGTTAAGTTGTTTATTTGAAATGTTTCTGTCTTTTTCAGGTAGGCCTATATTGCTATGAAGTTCCCTCTCAGGACTGCCTTCGCTGTGTCCCATAGGTTTAGGACAGCCATGTGTTCATTTTCATTTGTTTCCAGAAACTTTTTTATTTCTTCTTTGATCTCATTATTGACCCATTCATTGTTTAATAGTGTGCTATTTAGTCTCCATGAGTTTGAATGTTTTTGAGTTTTTTCCTTGAGGTTGGTTTCTAGTTTCAAGCCCTTGTGATCTGAGAAAAATGCTTGTTATGATTTTGATTTTCAGGAATTCATTGAGACTTGTTTTGTGTCCTATGGTGTGGTCTATCTTTGAAAATGTTCCATGTGCATTTGAAAAGAATATGTATTTTGCTTCTTTGGGATGAAAGTGTTACCGAACAGATGGACCTGTGGGAGGGTTGGTGTGCTCAGATGCAGATGCTATTATGAAACAACAACACTCCCTTCCCCGGGGTCCCTCGGTTGTAGATTCTTTGCCCGCCACCCTTGGAATTAGGGCTCTGAATGGCAGAGTTTGGTGAAAAGGAAAGGAACTATTTATTCAAAAGTTATACAGGTTTGATTAATGGCTAAATGTCACCCTTAAACCTCAAAATACCTTTAAAACAATCACCAGCACATACACCGTCCTGCCTTCCTCCCTTTTGCCCAGTTAGGCCAGTCAGGCCTGTTAGGGGTACCGTGTTTTAGAAGAAAAAGAACAGAAGTCCAGGGCTTGGCTAGGCAGGCCTCTCGTGATTCTCAGCACCATCCGCTGTGTCACTGTGATCTCCAGCTCTTAATCCATAACCATGTGGCACCTTCTCATGGCCCACTAGCAAGAGTTTCTTCCCACGTGGTCTTCACACTGTTTCCCAGAGACTGTGTCCCTTGTTCTCTCCTGCAGGCCCCTGTCTCTCCTCCTCCTCTCTAGTTACATTCTGCATTAAGTCTTTTAAACCTTCCTGATTAGATTTGGTGATATGCCTAATAACCCTTTTTGCATATGAGGAATGAAGCTATCCTGTGATTGACATGCAAAATGACTCTCAATGGCCCTGCTCAAGGCTCCCATCCCCCATGGTGACCTGCCGTGGGGTGCAGAGAATATATTTTTCTTGTACACCCCAATCTTTGGACCCCATTACAAATACCCTTTAGGGGGGCCCTGGCTGTGCCCCGTTACAAAAGGTTCTCTATATGTCAGTTACATCCATTTGATCTAGTGCATTGTTTAGTTTCACAATATCCTTTTGATATTTTATTTGGAAGATTTATCCATTTTTGACAATGGTGTGTTAAAATTCCCTGCTATCAGTGTGTTACTGTCTATATCTTTTTTGTCCTCCAAGATTTTCCTTATATATTGGAGTGCTCCTATGTTGGGTGCATATATGTTTACTATGTTTATGTGTTCTTGATGGATTCTTCCTTTGAGTATTATAAAGTGTCTTTCTGGGTCTCTTTTTACAGCCTTTGTTTTGAAATCTATTTTGTCTGATAAAAGTATTGCTAACCCTGCATTTTTCCCTGTCCATTTGCTTGGAATATTTTCTCCCATCCCTTTACTTTCAGTCTGTGTTGGTCCTTTGTTCTGAGGTGGGTCTCTTGGAGGCAGCATATGTGCAGATCATGTTTTCTTATCCATTCAGCTACCCTATGACTTTTGATTAGAGCGTTTAATCTATTTACATTTAAAGATATTGATAGGTGCTTATTCATTTTTTTCTCTTTGTACCTGTGTTCCTCTCTTTCTCACTCTTTTTCTTCATCTTCCTAAAGCAGTCCCTTTAGCATATCTTGTAGTGCTGGTTTGGTGGAGGTGTATTCTTTTAGCCTTCTTTTGTCTGGGAAATCCTTACTTCACCTTCCAGTTTAATTGAGCGCCTTGCTGGGTAAAGTAGCCTTGGCTGCATGCCCTTGTTTTCTATTACTTGGAATATTTCTTGACATTCCCTTCTGGCTTGTAGTGTTTCTGTTGAGAAATCAGCTGCTAGCCGTACCAGGACTCCCTTGTATGTTACTCCCTGTTTCTCCCTTGCTTCCCTTAGGATTCTGTTTGTCTTTGATATTTGCCACTTTAATGATGATGTATCTTGGAGTAGGCCTCATTGGTTCCTCTTGAATGGTACCCTCTGTGCTTCCTGGACTTGAGTGTCTTTTTCTCTCCTTCAATGAGGGAAGTTTTTCATCATTACTTTTTCAAACAGGTTCTCTATCCCTTCCTCCTCCTCTTTTTCTCCTTCTGGTATCCCTATTATATAGATATTATTGCGTTTCAGGTTGCCTTGAAATTCCCTAAATGCCTCTTCATTCTTTTAGGGTCTTTTTTCATTTGCTTGCTCTTTCTGGGAGCTTTTTTTCTACCTTGTCCTCCAGCTCGTTGATTCGATCCTCTGCTTCATCCAGCCTGCTTTTGATTCCTACTGTGTTCTTCAATTCAGAAATTGTATTCTTCACTTCCTCTTGTCTCTTATTGGTAGTTTCTGTGTTTTTTTTCATGCTGATATAGTTTGCAATAAGTTCCTCAGAGTTTCCCTGTAGTTTTTTGTAATTCTCTTTGAGCTCACAGAGCTTACTGAGCTTCCTTAGAACCGTTGTTCGGAACTCACTATCTGATAGTTTACTTGCCTCTATTTCATTTAGTTCTTTTTCTGGGGATTGCTCCTTTCCCTTTGATTGGGGGGTATTTCTTTGTCTTCCCATTATTGGTGAGACTCTTCTTTTTCGCTTCTGCTTCTTAAATTGATCTGTCTTGACTTCTTGACTTTGTTGTGTGAACTTCTATGGTAGGAGACTCCTTTTTTTTTTTTTTTTTGTCCTTTCTTTCTGCATCTCCCTCTGATGATGTCAGCTGTTGACCCCATCTGACTTAAGCTGTCTTTAAGAGACTTCCAGGAATCTACTGTCTGTGTCTGTCTCCTCCAGTTGTTAATCTAGTCACACTGCCCTCAGCAGTCAGGGCAGAGTCCCTCCTGGGGGTGGGGTTATTGGCTCCTTTCACGCTGCTGCCCCTTAGGCGAGTGGTCTGCCTGAGCAAGATGGCTGCTGCCATATGGGGGAGGGGTCAAGCACTGGGGTCTCCCTGGTTACTCCCTCAGTTCTCTCTTCAACGTCTCTGTCTCCAGACTCTCCTCAAGTGTCTCTAGACTACTCTGTAACCCCTTTAGCCAGGAATCTACTATCTGTGACTAATGCTCTGTACTCAGCACCCAGGCCTGTACAATGCCTGGCCAGGCTAGAATGTCTTAGGGTGGGGCTATTGTGTCATTTCATGCTGCTGCTGCTCAGGGGAGTGTTCTGCCTAAGCAAGATGGCAGCTGCAGAATGGGGGGTGAGTGAGTTCCGGGATTCTGCTGTCCATTGTCTCAGTTTTCTCCCCAAAGCCTCCCTCCCCAGTCTCTCCTCAGGCGGCTCCAACCCACTCTGCCCTTGCCCCCTCCAGAGCCCAGGGAAAGTGGCTACCACTACAAATTTGTGCATTGGCTCTTTCAACGACTCCTTGTGTCTCCAGCATTCTGACTCTGGCAGAGAGCACTCTGCCACTTTTCACAGCTGGTTGTTATCTGTGTGCTTTTTGGGCTCTGGTGCTGTTGATGGAGATCCCTGCGTATGGTTTAGAACCTGCTCTTCTCGGGGGGGTTCCAACTGGCCATTTCAGTATCGCTCTGGCGCTGCAGCCCGTGGGCACCTAGTCCACCTTCTCGAGCCTCTACTGCACTCCTTATCAGTCAGGTTGTGCTAAAGCCGATTCCTCTGTCTGTCCGAGGTTTTAAGGCTCCTCTTCCGCTATTGTTCAGTTGTTTTCCAGGTGATCTCTCCACAATTTAGTTGTAACTCGAGATTGGTTCCGGGAGGAGGTCAGTGTGACTTCCAGTCACTACTCCAGCCTCTTTAAGTCAGGGAGTTATGTAACTTTCCACTTCCTGTTTATGTTAAGCAGATGTGGGTATCTAAATAGGTGAACAGAAAGTGGTGGGCTTCAAGATTTTCTCTACTTTCTTAATATAAACTGGAAGTAGAATTGAGTCTTATGGGAAAAATTCTGCAAAGGGGAGGGAGGAGAGTATTAAAGGAGACCAGGAAGTGTTTACTGTAGTATGAAGACAACAGAGCCCCTCAGACTTGATATATGTAGGTAGCTAAAGGGTATTCTCTTACCATTGGAGTGTCTTGTTGGTTTGAGTGAGAATACTTTGTTCATACAGCGTCATCTGCAGAGAAAATATGGGTAGTCTTTGTTGGTAATGTTGATTTTACTATTGAGGATTTTTGGCTAAACACTATCTCTTCTAGAAGTCCTCTGGCCTCTGTAAATTATATCTTGATTTTAACCTGATTTATCATTTTATCCCCAGAGCTCACAGTTCACGTGGGTGACTCAGCCCTGATGGGATGTGTTTTCCAGAGCACAGAAGAGAACCTCCTGACCAAGGTAGACTGGTTGTTCTTGCCAGAGGAGCATGCCAAGGTAATGAGGAGGAGTCGTCAGTATGGGGCAGAAGCCCCTGGCCTAGGTGTCAGGACAGTAGGGGTGAAGGAGAATCTAGGCATCAGGTACCATGTAGTGGCGTTAAAAGGGTTTGGGTTTTGGATCTTGTCAGAACTGGGCCTTCTTTTAGCTTGGCCACATGGCTGGGCAATTTCAGCCTCCTGTTGGGAAAATAAGTCTAATGAAGGTGATGGAGATAATGAAGAAGGAGAAGGAGGAGAAGAAAATGCATAACTTTTAGGGTAGTGAAGACATATATATGAGATAGTCCATGTAAAGCATTTGTATATGATTTGGCCACTGTATTTTAATTTCCTCCCTCTTTTCCCTCCTTCTCTTTGTAGAGTTCATGGGAGAATGAGGGGGATGATTTTAGTGGCTTCGCCAGGAAAGCTATAGGCTAGACATAAGAATGATTACATCTTTATTCTTATTTGAGTTATTTTTGTGAGTTTTCTTCTGTGTTTCCTTGCCCCATTTATGTGACAGAGGGAATGTCCTCTGTCTTTCTGGGTACTTCAGATGCTGGGATTAGTACAGTAGATCCTGGGGGGCGTGGGCGAGGAGTAATTCATGAGAACTATGAAGCAGTAAACAGCAAGTTATTTCACCAGACCAGTGATACCAGCTGTGGCATGGTGATGTACTTATAGGTCAAGCTGTGTTTTTAGGGACATCCCAAATAACTTTGTTCAAAAAAGTTATGGTGGAAAGTTTATAAAAGTTTTAGCTTTTATAAATTAAGATATATTTCAGATAATCCCTATAAAAAATGTCATTTAAACTGACTTCATTCCTATATGCTGTCTGAGTAGGTCGGAAAGGGTGGCATCATGGTGGGTTATGGGGAATTATATGTAAGTCTCAGGCTCACCTCTGGGGACTTGTCATACCTTGAACTGTCATCCACCAAGTGAGTCACAACAGAAAACAATGAGAATTGAAATGTTGAGTTGTGAATTTGAATCACAAGAAACAAGAGGCTCCCATCCCATTTTCTTTCCTTAAAAGCTTTTAAAAACGATAACGTTTATATACCTTAATTTAAAAATTCCAACACTTAGTCATTATAGTATTTTTTAAGCAGTAAAAGCCCGTGCCCCTGATTGGGAACTTAAAATCAATATGGAGGAAGATACACAGTAAAATATGAAGAAATAAATACAGAATATGTTAGGTAATAGTAACAGCTATGGAGAACAAGAAAGCAGAGTCTTGTTGCTATTTTATAAAGGTGGTAAGGGTGGCTTCCCTAAAAAGGTTGACATCTGAGCAGAAGTCTGAAGGAAGTGAGGGAACCACATATATGCGTGGGGAGAAGAGTGTTCCAGGCATAAGGAGCAGCAAATGCAAAGGCCACAAGGCCAGTACTCAAGGACAGAAAGGAAGTCAGTGTGGCTGAAATGAAGTGACCCAAGTAGACAAGGAAAGAACAAGTAGAAGATTAAATCAGAGAGGGAAAGTATCTCCACTTTTAATAGAAATGGAGGTGCTATTCGAGGGTTTTGAGCAGAGGAGTAAATTGATTTAACTTGTATTTCTAATGACTCATCTCCGGAGAATAGACTGTACTTGGGAGTAAGTAGGGAGACAAGTAAGAAAGCTCCTTGCAGGAATCCAGGTGAGAGATGGTACATGGACTCGAGTAGCAACCATAGAGAAAATGAGAAGTGGCTAGATTTGGGATGTATTTTGAAGGTAGAGGTGATGGGATTTTCTGAGGGATTTTAGATGTGAGTTATTCAAGAAAGAGAGGAATTAAGGAGGACTCCAAGATATTTAGCGTGAGCATCTGGAAGAAGCATTGCCATTTACCAAAGTAAGATGGACTAGAAAGAACTGGTCTGAGGGAAAAACTTGGAATTCAGTTTTAGTTATGTTTCAGATTTCCTATTGAAAATCCAACTGGAAATGTCATAAAGAGTAAAGGTGTAGTTTCATTTTTTTTTTTTTTTTTTATACTGGGGCAGTATAGAGTTATACTCCCTCATTCTTACTTCCTCATCCCTCTCTTCAGATGGAACAGTTTTCACAACTACACATGCTGGCACACACATGTGTGTTCACACTGTTGTGTTATCTAATACTTTCTGATAATACCTATACTCCCTGCACATTCACGGTCTCAACATTCCCTGCTCTCCATCCCCCAACCCCACCTTGCAGCTGTCTCATACATTTTGTCTTTCCCTTTTAGGAGGAGATTATGTTGTGCTATTACACCAAAAAAGTACCTGGGGGGTACCGCCAGTATGGGGGCCGCTTCCAGAACCGTGTAAACCTGGTGGGGAACACTGCCCTCAATGATGGCTCCATCAGGCTCCAAGGAGTGAAGGAATCCGACAGAGGAAGCTACACCTGCACTATCCATCTGGGGAACGTGACATTCAGAAAAACCATTGTGCTACATGTGATTCAGAAAGAGCCCCAAAGTATCTAACATTTGATTGGGGAGGGCTGAGGGACCTCATAGCTGGTAGGCAAGGCCAGGACTACGGTGAGGCCCAAGAGGCCTTTAGGGTACAAAATTTAAGGGGGCATCACTGTCAGATGCTGACAGTGTACTTGCACAATACTGAGACTGATGTTTCCTTAAATTTGTTGCCCTAGGCACCTTGGTTGCCTCACCCTACTTCTGGTCTCGCTAATAGGTCAATGAAAAAGGAGCTGATATTTAGTGAACACCAGCCCTATGCCAGACATCACTCTTTGCCAGTACAACCTACCAATTTAAAGACATAGGAACTCAGAGATTGGAGTTGATGTTCCAAGTCATTTTTATTTAGGTTCAAGAAAGAGGCTATGTGCTCTGTAGTGGAGGGGAAAATGATCCTTAGCTGATGAGAGACAGCAAAGAACAGAGAAAACAGGAAGGGACCAACACCAAAAATAGAGGGGTTTTCTGATCAAAGGTTCTTTATTCTGGGAAACAGTATGCATTGAGGCCAGTTTGTAGGCAAATAAAGATTCAGTTGTGTTGACTGAGAGAGGTTGATAAACCATAACTCAGTTTTAACAGTCAGGATGTGGCCTGTGGACTTCGCCTTACACTGGGGCCCTCAGGGGTTGGCTGTGGTTGGTTGAGGGCACGGATGGGGGTGAGGATGGAACACACCTTGCTATTTTTGCCAGAGACTTAAATCTATGGAGGCACCTTCTTGTTAAATAGCAAAGGGTCCCAGCTGGAGATAGAAGTAGGACAGATAGATTTCTTCACCCTCAGAAATTTTATCTTCACTTCACAAACAAAATTCAAGCCATTAAGTGGGAGCTCATTCAACCTCCAAGCCTTCCCCGTCCACAAACATGTCTATAATCTGCCCCATCCTTATCTCTGCCTTGCCATCTTTTCTGCTTGGGTTGAGCACCCCTCAGGTGCTCAGGTGCATCCTCTGTTTCTTCTCTCTCACTTTCCATTGGCTTCTACCATTCAGCATATAAATATGCTCGTCTCCTTACTTTGTGTCCTTGTCTAATTTAGCTCTCATCCTATATCTTTTTCTTGAAACAGCTTTCTTGAGATACAACCTACATATCATACAATTTACCCATTTAAAGTGTACAACTCAGTGGTTTTTCGTATATTCAGAATTGTGCAACCTTTACCATAATCAATTATATATTCTTTCTTGACATAGCCAAATAGCTTGCTAAGGTGCTGCATGTGGTATCTCTCATTCCCGGTAACTCCTTGGTGCACAGCATTCTGGCTTCTGCTTATGCCTCTGCTCTAGCTTGGATGTAGCAATGGTACTCTAATCATACATCCTTGGCTGTCTTTACCTCTGTAGAACTGGATACTATAGTCTATACACTCAGCATATTCTACGCTGGACACAATTTGTCTCTATATATCTATATAAACTCTACCCAGATGTCCCACAAATACTTCAAATACCACATATCCAAACCTCCCCGGCACACCACTTCCCATCCCATCTCCTCAACCTCAGGTAATGCCACCACCATCTATGCAGTTTTCTAACTGGGTGCCTGAGAGTTGTACTTGGTTCTTCCCTTTTCCATGACCCCCAGACTAACAAGTCTGTCATTTTGGCTACTGACTTTGAATCTGCCTTCTTTCCAGTTCATCACCACTGCCTTAGTTCGGATTACCTTTATCTGTGTTTCAGACTGTAGGCCTTTAACTAGTCTCCGCTTTCATTCTCAGCCACTGTTCATTCTTCATGCAGCAATTAGTTCCATCTTTCTAAATCACGCATCTCAACATTCTCTTCCACTGCCTATAATCTTTCAGTGGTTTCTTCATTGCCTACAGAAAAAAAATCAAATTCCTGGTTGAGATCATCAAGGTCCTTCATGACTTAGACCCAATTTCCTATGCCCTGACCAATGCAACTTTTGTGCCCAACCCATGGAACTGTTTCTAAAAGTCCCATCCTATCAGGCCTCTAGACCTTGTGCCCAGTGTTCCCTCCGTCCGTCCCCATTATTACTTGCCCAAACAAACTTGATGTTCCTTTTAAGACTCAGTTTAAACTTTAGAACTTTGGCTGACAAATTCTCATCTCCACATAGAATTCAGTATCTTTTTCTCTGTGCCCCTCTGCACCCCATATTGTCTTCTATCATAGCACCTAGCAGTCTGTGGTTTTCTGTTTACATGGTTGTGTCTCTCCTTGGAGGCAAGGACCAGCATTATTCATGTTTGTGCCTTCCATGTCTAGTAATATCTGGTGCCCAGGAGGTCTGTGATAATGTGTATTTAGAGTGAATTGAGGAAGTTAGTGAGTGGTACCATATGGGTGGAAGTGCCTCCAAAAGTCTTACTTGGTATCATGACCATGGGGCTGAGTGGTGTAGCATAGATCCATTTGAAAGAATCACTTCCCATAGAAAGATCAGTTGCCTCTAAGATGTCTGTTGTTTCTATGTCATTTGGTAAACCACATTTTAAGATAGAACTGTTTATGCAAAAGAAAACTCTACTATAGGTGAGGTGCTATTCCCTTCTCCTGCCCACTTTAGTCTACACTTTCAGAGGAAGCAAGGGGGTCTGACTTCAGTTCTCAGTGTAGCAGGGACAGCTGGAGTCCTAGTATTTCAACATGGAGTGGAGTCTGGCCTCCTTTCCCCACTTCCTGACTTGGCTGTTGCTACTTTGTATGTAGCTGGTAGGGCTGGCAGCCCTTTCCTGGAATATTGAGGCCTTCTCATTGCTTTTCTCCTTTCCTAAGCATTGGTGACCCCAGTAGCTTTCAGACCTGAGATCCTGGGTGGTAATCAGCTGGTGATCATTGTGGGGATCATTTGTGTCACTATCCTGCTGCTTCCTGTTCTGATACTGATTGTGAAGAGGACTTCCGGGAATAAGAGGTACAGGGCTACTCTCACCTCTGGGGCTGGGAGGCTGGAGGTGCAGGACAGCTGCTAACCTGAAGTGGAAGAAAGTGATAGGGCCCTAACTGTGCCATTTTTACAGAGGGTGATGTCAATTAGATGTCATTTGTATAGTGACCCCTCCATCTTTGCTCCTGGAAGAACTTGCTACACATTCCCCATCATCCTCATTTATTTTGGTATTTTTTACAAGGATTGCCAACTCTTTTACAAAGTGTTGTCTAAGCAGATCATGAATAAGAGGATAAATCTTAAGCATTAATTATAATGGTACCATTCAATGCCTGAGAGATGATTTTTTAATATCTACTATATATGCTTCATACAGAAGACCAGGTTTTGAGGGCTTTAAGTGACTTTATTTAAAAGACCACATTCTAGTTGTGACAGCCTATTTTTGAATGGATGCCCTGAAGTCGTAAGTTATTTGTTGTTGAAATGTGTGTTTAAAGGCTGGAATTTCATCTGGTATCTCAAAAACGCCCAGATGCTCTGACATGGGCACTAGTGTTTCATTGGCTGTTGCCAGGAACATTCCTCAGTTTACCCAACTGTTGATGAAATAGTTTGCTAGGACAAATTGACTCTCTTGTTGAAATAGTGTTAATGGGGAAGGGCCCTCATTAAGATTTAAGTAATGCTGACTTTTGAGTCTCCTTTCCCCATAGAACATGGATTCTACAGGAAGTGCGTATGCCTGCTACATTTGCACTTCCATTTCTAAGGGTCCTCTGACTTGGTTTTGAACTTGGTTGGCTTCGCTGAGGGTCTTTGCTCTGGGCATGCTGAGTTAAGACAACCTGGGTTCCATATCAGCTCACTTCTCACTATGGGCCTCGGTTTTTTTCAAAATGAAGAGCAGCACTTCCATGTCTACTTGTTTATTCTAAAGAAATAATCAGATTGATGTGCTATGTGCATAAATATGCTTGCTGTAGCATTGATTATTATTAAAATTTGAAATCATCTTTAGTGTGCATCAGAACAGTGATGATATAAAGAATCAGTATTCCATTCAATAAAATACCACACAACCCTATATGTAATGACATGAAAAGATGTGCAGTTCTATGTTATAGAATATATAGTATGATCTCAGGTTTATAAAGAAGAAAATTAAATTATGCTCATTTCAGCAGTATATATTCTAAATATATTTTGTGTGGGTGCACTTATGCTTGCATTGAGAGAGGTTTGGAATATTAATAGTGGTATTAGGGATAAAGGAGAATGTAGGTCCCATGAAGGTAAGGAGTTTACTGGAATTTCAGCCCCCAGCAGTCTACATTTCTGTATTATTTGAATTATTTAACAATGAGAATATACAAGTTTATAATCTGAAAATAAAAATATTCCTACTTGAGACAAAAAAATATGGTTTCTTTTCTAGCTTTAACTCTTAATTGTTTTTTAAGCTCTGTCTTAGGCCAAAATAGATAAAAAGGAAAATGTATTCAGTAGCAAATTCAGAAGGCAAATGGTCATGGTATCAAAGGCCAAAGACCAGGAAAGGGCTGGAGCTCACAGTGGGATGTTCGTGGGGATAATTCATCTTGGCCCTTTGAACGGATGTCTCACCAAGTTTCTGCTATCTCCCCCTAGTCCAGCTATGTCTCCCTAGTCCTTGGAGATAATAGTCTAATCCCATGGCCCAGCTCCATTCATTCACTTAACATTGTTATAGACAGAAAGTCATTAGAGTGACAATGGAGAAGTGGAAGCTGTCATTCAACCCAAACTATCTCCTGCTCTCCACAAAAGAGAACACTCACAGACTTCAAGTTGAGCTGGGTAGGAAGCTAGAGAGAATAGCTACTGCTCTGGTGTTTCTGTCTTCACAAAGCTCTGTAGACACCCAGCCTTAAATATACAGTGCAGGCTGATTAATTTCATATGTGTTTCATGCCTTGCAGCTCAGCAACTTCCACAACCCTGGTAAAAAGTCTGGAGAACACAAAGAAGGCTCACGCAGAGGTAAGAGAAGAACTCTCTGCCATTTTGCTGCTGTGCCCAATGAGGGTGAGGTGAATACTGCTCTGTATCAAGGTGGTGGTGTTATCATTCCTCTGCGACCCATGTCTTACTCATCATTATATCTCATCACTTAGGCCCGTAATTGGCACAGAACAGGGGCTCAGGAAGTCATTACCACTAGAGTAAAAGCCCCTGGGGAGTAAGTGTAGGGGACAGGTGGGGCCAGCCCAGGATGGTCAGGCCTTCCTGGAAGGGCCTGAGCAAAGAGCACTGGACTTGCAGTCAGAAAGTCCCAATTCAAGCCTGGCTCTGCTACCTCCCTGAGCCTCAGCGTTCTCATCAATAAAACTAGGATAAGGACAAACATTTGCCCTGTTGTGTGGTTCAAATAACATGGTGATATGCAAGTGTTTCATAATCTATGAGACATTATAATTACAAGGGAGAATTGCAATACATTTGGGAGTTAAGTGAAGGAATTAATGGTTAAGATTGAATATTCAGGGACCTTTAGAAAGAGGATCAAAATGCTCTCTCCTTTCATATTAGACTGTAATGGAGCTGTGAATAATTGCTACTAGGAACTGAGAAATGGATTAATTTCCTTGAACTCCTTTTTCCCTCCCTTCCTCCCTCCCTCCCTCTCCCCTCCCTCTTTCCCTTCCTTCCTTCCTTCCTTCCTTCCTTCCTTCTTTCCTTTCTTTCCTTTCTTGTTTTAATGTCCCCTTTTGGAATATCTGCCTTTCCACCTTTTGGTCTATTTGTGACCCAAGAGTAGGATTTTCTCACAGCATAGTGCGGAGGCCTCCAGCAGCCCAAGAATTTTTCACTGGATAACGCTACTTCCCACGTAATAACAGAAATGGGAATTACAAAGTACCACCAACTCCACAGACGTGAGGTTCAGAGAGGGCTGTTCCTGCCATATAAACCCTCTGAAAGAGTTGACAATAGATTAGCTGCTGATTAATGCCAGCCATCCTGCCATGACTCGAATTAGAAGGAAATAACCACAGAGTAGATATAATTTGTCAAGACAAGGATTCCTGCTGCTACCTAAACACCCATCAAACAAAGACTGTGTGGCTTTCAAAGCGAAGAATTTGGTTCTTAAGATAAAGTGCTCTTTGCTGACAAGTTAGTTTTCTTAATTTGGCGGAACCCTGAGGACTGAATTATTGTTGATAATTCTTTGGCTCTCAGTATCCCCCTGAACCTGACAGTTTTGGTGGCTGATGCCTTGTGAATAGTAGCAGATGGCCTTTTCTCTGTCATATAAGATCTGCTGATTTTTAGGAACATTTATACCATTTTTTTCCCTTCTAGAACCATGTTTATTCCTCAATAACTACACAGGAGGTGATGGAGAAAGAAGAACCAAGTGAAAAATCAGAGGCCACCTACATGACGATGGTGAGGATGATTCTGGGTCTAGCTGAGCTAGGCGTCTGGAGGTGGGAGGACCTGGGAAGGATATGGCAACCTTATGGGAGTAGATATGGCTAGGTCACCTGGGGAAGCAACTTCTGAGGGCAGAGATTTTTCTAAGTGGTAGGAAAGTCAGAAGCTGAAACTTGGCTGGATGCAAGGGTAATTATCAAACTTGCCTTCATGCCCAATCTTGAGTATTACAGGGAATTAAGGTTAGAGGTGATTGATTTTAGTGGTGGAAGAGGGACCTTCATTGGGGGGTAGGCAAAGGGCCTCTGCCTCATCAGCAGAACTTAACGAAGAACCTAATGAAGAGGGCACCCTAGATCCTTATATCTTTTCTTAGGTTAAATACAACCTAATAAAGAGGGTGCCAGAGACCCCTGGTTAAGTGTTGTGCTGCAAGGGATTGTTTTCTATCAAAATGTCCCTTACAACTCTTAGATTTTTTTATTCTGTGACTTACTGTGTTTTGGCATTATCTAACTGCTAGGAAGGCTGCATTCAGAATTCCATATAATTACGTGAGATCTGATGTCTTCCTTCTCTTTGCTCAATTTCCCAGGGTAGTATAGCACCCAGAATGTAATGAGCAGGGGTAAGGACAAAAGAAATGAGCTGGCAAGGTACATGATGCTATTTTTAGACTATAGGCACAAGGCCTTGAAGAGTGCAGTGTTCTGCTGGGTTCAGGAAGGCTGGCCTCCTCTGTTCGTAGGTATGGGTGATGACTTGTGTTTGTTCCTGTTGAACCGGCAGTGAGGACACATGACTCCCTGATGATTGTAGCAGAGAAAGGTTCTGCCAGGGAAGTGTGAGGTCAGAGACCTGGCCTGCTTCCACCAAGTGAGACAGTATATCCACTCTGAAGTTGTAGTAGAATATAGTCATTCTTCCCATCCATCCCTCTCCCATTATTGCCATGTGATGCTACAGTAACTTCCAGGCCTCATTTTGCCACTTAGAGACTTGCTGACACAGCTGCCTTGTGGTTACTGCTGAGTGTTCACTCACCTGGGTGATACTGTTTGCAGAAACATAGCTACCCTCCCCATGTTCAGCGCTAGGTGCTTGTGATTTAAACTCTGCAGAAAATGGCACCTCTGTCCTCTTGAAATGAATCCAATAAAGCAAGTGCAATGAGAGGCCAGGGCCACAAATTCAAAGGCCTTCGGGGCCAGGTCAAGTTATTTTAACATACTGTGTATCAGATTCAGCAAGGCTGTGGGTGAATTCTGGGCTGCAGGTTACTTGTTTGACACCTCAGGTATAGAGGTGTTATCTGATAGGGAGCAGGAGTAATATAGAACCTTTGATTTCTTTTTTCTTGAATTAAGTTTACTTAAATGAAAAGGAACCATGCTGTGTCCCCTTTATGAGTTTGTACAACACAGTGGCTAAGATCACAAGCTTTGGAGTTGGACAGACCTGGGTTGAAATCCTGACTCTGAATTCGAAGCTAGATGAGCTTGGTCAGGTAACTTAGCCTCTTTGAGCCTCAGTTTTTTCATCCCTAAAAGTGGGAATAATACCACCTACCCCTCAGGTACTGAGGATCAAAAGGGATGGTACATGTGAAATTGAGAATTGGGCCACATAGATGCAAAGAGCTCAATAAGTGATAACTATTATGATTTAAATACTTTTTACAAATGTGCTTTGTGTTTCTTCCTTCCCTTTCCCTACAGAACCCAGTTTGGCCTTCTCTGAGGTCAGAACCAAGTAACCCACTTGAGAAAACATCATCTGGGGTAATGCTAAAAACAGAGCAAGCCTTTTAAGAAGAAAAGAGTTCCCTTCATCTTTAGGGAACCCTCCTCTGTGTGTCCTGAGTTGCTGCATCAGTTTTTGCAGACCCCCACCGTCCTACTTGTCCTCCTGCCTCCTCGGTTGGTCAAGGGCTGACAATGGAGGGCTCAGAGCCTGGAAGAAGGATGGGGCAGCTCTGGAGGAATAGGCCCTGATGAGGGGAGCGTGGACTTGGTCCCTCTGGAGTGGGACACTGGCCCTGGGGACCCTGGCTGAGTTGCCATAGCAGCGTCAAGCGTTCCATCCGACCCTCAGCTTGGATGGCATTCTTTGTGGATGAATTACTGGGAAGAATCACAGAAATAAAAACCAACCTAAATGATTCCTTTGGCACGTTATCCCTAAATAAATATGGTTTGTGGAAATCATCCTGTTTTTATACACTGGCTGAGGGGTGAGTGGAGTGTTGGTGAGGAATTTATGGTCAGGAACTTCTCAAACAACTGAAGTGACTGGAGGAAAGCCATATTGTGGCTTAACATGTTGGGAACTGTTTTGGGGGTTTGGAAGTGGGGTATGAATACATCTCTCGGATTTAGCCCAGTGCATCTTAATTCTGGCTGGGCATCAGAATGGCTGGTAGCTCTGCTGAGGCTCCCCAGAGGTGTCCTGCAATTCCTGGGTGGAGCTTGGGCATTTGTCTTTTTCAGAACTGATACTCATGGATTGCCAAAGTGGATACCCATCGATTTAACTCTTGGTCTGAAATGTGAGGTTCCTATACTTTTGGTTAGTATTGTAAGATTTAATAGGGTTAATGTTCTTAAAATCCTTTGGTTCTGAGCTCCTGTTTCTAGCCTGGGTTCAGCTCAGCTCCCTTGTCCTTGACTACTGTAGGCCCTTCCTCACCCTCTGTATCCCATCCTTCCCGTTTAGCTGCTTAGCACATGATAAAAGAGGTCTTTCATGGTCCTCTTGTTTCTGCCACAATTTCTTTTTTTTTTTAATTATATTTTATTGATTTTTCTATTACAGTTGTCCTAATTTTTCCCCCTCTGCCACCCTCCATGCAGCAACCCCCACTCTCTCAAGCCATCCCCCCACCATGTTTATGTCCATGGGTCATACGTGTACGTTCTTGGGCTACTCCATGTCCTACACTGTACTGTACATCCCCGTGGCTATTCTGTAACTCCCTATTTGTACTTCTTAATCCCCTCACCTCTTCACCCATCCCCCCCCCCCACATCCCTCTCATCTGGCAACAATCGAAATACTCTCTGTATCCATAATTCTGTCTCTCTTCTTATTTGCTTAGTTTGTTTTTTAGATTCAATTGTTGATAGATATCTATTTATTGCCATTTTATTTTTCATAGTTTTGATCTTATTCTTAAATAAGTCCCATTAACTTTTCATATAATAATGGTTTGGTGACGATGAACTCTTTAGTTTTTTCTTGTTTGGGAAGCTCTTTATCTGCCCTTCAATTATAAGTGATAGCTTTGCTGGGTAGAGAAATCTTAGTTGTAGGTCCCTGCTTTTCATGACCTGGAATATTTCTTGCCAGTCCCTTCTAGCCTGCAAAGTTTCTTTTGAAAAATCAGCTGACAGTCTTATGGGAACTCCCCTGTAGGTAACTAACTTCTTTTGTTGTTTTTAAGGTTCTCTCTTTATCTTTAACTTTTGGCATTTTTTAAAAATATATTTTATTGATTATGCTACTACAGTTGTCCCATTTTTTTCCTCCCCTTTACTCCCTTCTGCCCTACAAACCCCATCCCACTATATTCCCCCACCCCCCCTTAGTTCATGCCCATGGGTCATACATATAAGTTCTTTGGTTTCTCCATTTCCTATACTATTCTTAACATCCCCCTATCTATTTTGTACCTACTATTTATGCTGCTTCTTCCCTGTACCTTTATACCCATTCTCCCCCCGCCCCCGCCCCTCTGATCTCTATTTCTGTGATTCCGTTCCTGTTCTAGTTGTTTGCTTAGTTTGTTTTTGTTTTTTGTCTTTTTCTTTTTTTTTTAGGTGCAGTTGTTGATAGTTGTGAGTTTGTTATCATTTTACTCTTCATAGTTTTTGATCATCTCTTTCTTAGACAAGCCCTTTAATATTTCATATAATAGGGACTTGGTGATGATGAACTCCTTTAACTTGACCTTATCTGGGAAGCACTTTGTCTGCCCTTCCATTCTAAATAATAGCTCTGCTGGATAGAGTAATCTTGGATGTAAGTCTCTGCCTTTCATGACTTTGAATACTTCCTTCCAGGCACTTCCTGCCTGTAAGGTTTCTTTTGAGAAATCAGCTGATAGACTTATGGGAACTCATTTCTACAAGTAGGTAACTATCTCCTTTTCTCTTGCTGCCTTTAAGATTCTCTCATCTTTAATCTTGAGTAATATAATTATGATGCGCCTTGGTGTGTGCTTCCTTGGGTCCAATTTCTTGGGACTCTCTGAGCTTCCTGGATCTCCTGGAAGTCTATTTCCTTTGCCACATTGGGGAAGTTCTTCATTATTTGTTCAAATAAGTTTTCAATTTCTTGTTCTTCTTCTGGCACCTGTACGATTCCAATGTTGGAACATTTAAAGTTGTCCCAGAGGTTCCTAAGCCTCTCATCATTTTTTTGAATTCTAGTTTCTTCGTTCTGTTCTGGTTGAATGTTTCTCTTCCTTCTGCTCCAAATTGTTGATTTTAGTCCCAGTTTCCTTCCCTTCACCGTTAGTTCCCTGTATATTTTTATTCATTTCACTTTTCATAGCCTTCATTTATTCCTCTATTTTGTGACCATATTCCACCAATTCTTTGAGTATCCTGATTACCAGTGGTTTGAACTGTGCATCTGATAGGTTGGCTATCTCTTCATCAGTTAGTTCTATTTTTGGAGGTTTGATCTGTTCTTTCATTTGGGCATATTTGGGCCATATTTTTTCGCCTCAGTGTGCCTGTTATTTTGGAAGGGGCAGAGGCTTAGGTATTCACCAGGGCAGGGCAACCCAGGTTGCTGTGTTGTGATGCTGTATGTGGGGGCGGGGTCCAAGAGGGAACAATGCCGCTTTTTGGGCTCTAGGCAGGCTGTCAGTCACTTCCCCTGCTATCCACAAGCAAATTGGGCCCTTCTAGCGCTGTTTCCCAGGTGGGTGGGTTTGTGTATGTTCTAGGACCCTGTGGGTCTCTCCAGCAAACTTTCCTGTGAGGCTTGGAGTTTCTCCTGCTGCTGCATCCCCTACAGTTTTTTACAGCCAGAGGTTTTGAGACTCTTTTCTGCACTGGAACCCTGGATTATATGGTTTTTCTCTCTCCCCAGCTGTTCCTCCTGGTTTATCCACATGCAAATGTGGAACCACCCGGTCTGCCAGCCACTGCCTTGCCACATCTCCACCCCTCCTACCCATCTGGATGAATGTTTCTCCTTTAACTCCTTGGTTGTTAGACTTTATACAGTTTGATTTTCTGACAGTTCTGGTTATTTTTTGTTTTTAAATTTGTTGCTGTCCTTTTGGTTGTGCAAGGAGACAAAATGTATCTACCTACGCCTCCATCTTGGCCAGACGTCTTAAGCTTTGGCAGTTTAATTATGATGTGTCTTGGAGTGGGCCTCTTTGCATCCATCTTGTTTGGGACTCTGTGCTTCCTTGACTTGTATGTGTATTTCCTTCACCAAATTAACAAAGTTTTTCTTTCATTATTGTTTCAAGTAGATTTCCAATTTCTTGCTGTTTCTCTTCTCCGTCTGGCAGCCCTATGATACGAGTGTTGGACTTCTTGAAGTTGTCCCAGAGGCTTTTTATACTATCCTCATTTTTTTTTTTTCTGATTCTTTTTTTCTTCTTGTTATTATAATTGGTGGTTTTTGCTTTCTTATGTTCCAAATCATTGATTTGATTCCCGGCTTTATCCACTCTACTGTTGCTTCCCTGTGACTTGTTCTTTAATTCAATTAGTGTATCTTTCGTTTCTGATTGGGTCTTTTTTATGCTGTTGAGGTCCTAACTAAGTTCCTTGGGCACCCGTATAACCAGTATTTTGAACTCTGCATCTGACAGATTGCTCTCTCCATTTTGTTTAGCTCTTCTTCTGGAGTTTTGATCTGTTCTTTCATTTGGGCCATGTTTTTTTTTTTTTTTTTTTGTCTCCTCGTTTGGACAGCTGTCTTGTGTTTGTTTCTATATATTTGGTAGAGCTGCTTTGACTCTGCTTTTTTAAAAAAAGATTTCATTTATCTAATTTTAGAGAGAGGGGAAGGGAGAAAGAGAGGCAGAGAAACATTGATGTGCATGAGATACATCAAATGGTTGCCTCTCGCACGCCCCCAACTCAGGTCCTGGCCTGTAACCCAGGCATGTGCCCTGACTGGGAGTTGAACCAGCAACCTTTCAGTTTGCAGGCCAACACTCAATCCAATGAGGCACACCAGCCTGGGCTGACTCTCTGTCTTGGTAGTGTGGCCTAATGTAGTAGGTATCCTGTAGGGTCTAATGGCACAGCCTCCCCTATCACCGAAGCTGGGCACTCTAGATGTGCCCTTTGTGTGGGCTGAGTACACCCTTCTCATGTAGTTGAGTCTTGGTTGCTGTTGGCAGATCAACAGGAGGGATTTGTCCAGGTCAGTCAGCTGCAAGGATTGGCTGTGACCACTTACTATTAACCTCCGCCCTCCGTGGAGGATCAGCTGTGCACTGACAGGGTGGTGGTGCTCTGACATGGCCTATAGCTGACTACTGGGTGCACTTGCCCTGGGGTTTCCAAGGTGGTGCCTCCCAAGGTCAGCCCCTACCTGTGTTTTGCCTGGGGCCACTGTTCTTGAGCTATAAAGCAATCTGAGATGGCTGCTACTTGTGCTGGGCTTAGAGATTCCCAGGCAAAGCCAAGCTGTGAATCTAGGCTGGCTGCTGCTAGCACAAGGCCTGGGGTTCGCTGAGGCTGGCTGTTGCTTGTTTGAGAGGATTTAGGAATTTGTGAAACATGAACCAAAACCAGCCATTCATATGGAAAAGCACCTCAGGTGGGCCCATAAGCTGGGTGGGGCAGTCTCTGGCGATCTCCAAAGTGGGTCAAACAGTGTTAGCCAGGTTGGTGGAGTCTCAGATATGGCACCAGCTTGCCGGCTCTGTGGGGCAAGGGTTTATAAAGGGACAATGGTCTCTGCTCACCTTCATGCCAGATACTCCCTTCAGTTTCTCCCAATACACCACTGGTGCCTTTCAAGCTGCTACCCTGGTGCTGGAGCTCAGAGGGAGTGAGTCTGAGTAGGTGAGTCTGATTAGGTGAGCCTGTGTGTGGGTTCTTTAAGAGGAACTGCTTGGAGCTCCAGAAGTTTCTTCCACCGACTCAGTCCCTGCTGGTTTTTGTAGCCAGAAGTTGTGGGGACTGATC